TCACCATCGCCGCTATTTCTCTCCATCATAAACGGAGTTTATTCATTTCTTAAATTATAATATTTTGAATAACCAAAAATTGCTGCTTCTTGTACAATTTCGGTTCTGTTATCACCGTCACTACCACTATTGTCAGTATTGACGTCATTATCAGCACCATCATCATCATTATCGTTATCACAGCGATCAGCGAAACTGCTCTTAGTGTTGACTTGCAATAAAACTTGGTTCCCTCTTAGTATTGACTTATAATAATTGCTTTTATTGACATTGTCGGTATCATTATTATCATCATCAACAAAAACAGCTGGTTGCCTCCTAGTTTCATCTGTTTTCACTTCCGAACAGCTGACTGTATCCGTATTCCTTGGCATTTAAGCCCACCGCGAAGGGCAATATAAAACGGGTTGATGGATGCCAGCTAGAAGATTTCTGCAATTCGCCTGACTTCTGAACTCGAGCAATACGATCATCGACTAACCCGCCAGAAAAGCATCCTCCTGATCATGCTGTCTACGTCCAAGTACACTACTGAACAGTTCTTAGTCCTGGTTGATGAACACTGTGGATGATAGCAAACCGTTTCTGGATGACGAAAAACTGGTGGATTTTTGCTGGAGAGAAGCATTCGTCGATATAACGTTTTCAACAGAAACGCAGAATTTACCTCATTCTACATCTGTATAAGTTTTCATTTTAGCATGTTTATTTTAAAATGGAGGTGCGAGGAAAGAGTGAGGAGGAGGACTGATTTTCGAAACTGATGGTTATGTAATTTTTGAAACTGATTTTTGAAACTGACGGTTACCTTAAATAAAATTGAAAAATTTGGCTTCTTTTCAGAACATTAAATGAACATATTCGACTATTCTATTCCTCTTTTCTCTTAGGGTGCTCGCTCAACTACGCTACACCTCTAGACACATGAACACTTGCCATATAATCTCTCCCTACCCCCATTTTATTTCATTTATTATGTCGCTGCACTTTGCAGCAGTAATGCTACTCTTTCCAATACCTACTTAAGGAGATTAGTGGGGTAAAAAGATTGGAATTAAGTGTCATGTATAAGAGAACATTTCATGATGCAGTCTGTGT